CTTTCTGGCCATTATTCTTATGTGTTTTATTTCATGATTATTACTGAAACTAATTTTGTTGTATACAGGAGGGGCCCTGACTTGGATAGCCCCAGCCTAGCCTGATCTTGTCCGCTTTCAGAAGCTAAGCGGGGCTGATGCAGAGGCAGGCAATGACAAACCACCTCCAAATGTCTCTTGCCTTGAAAACCCTGTGGGGTAACTATACGTCAGCTGTGACTTGATGGCAAAAATAAATAAATAGAGGAGGGGGGGTGTTAAAAAATTACCTGCCCCAGGCACCAAATAGGCTAGGTATGCCACTGATAAATACATTTAAAAAATAAACATGCTAGCTTTAAAGGGACAGGGGAGACCACTAGGAGTAGGGTGAGAGAGCAAGGCCTGGTAGTAGGAGGCAGAGAAAGGGACAGAGGAGCTGAAGTGAATACAGTGAGCCCTGGCTGACCGCCTCCTGCAAAACTATTTGAAAAGCTGGAGTGATGTGGTGGTTTGAATTAATCAGCTACGCTCCCATGTTGCTAAACCACAGCCTTGTGATAATCTCATAACTTCAAGCAGTAGATGCAAAACCACATAAACAGCCTTTATCAAGCTGTCTAAGGCTCACAGAGGACTAGCTGCTTATGCACAGTGAACCCCCTCTATACACAGACACACCCACACACCATTATTATTTATTAGTTACATAGGGTAGGCTAGGTGGAGAGAAATGCATTACATTTACAACCCACCTTTCAGCCCCACAAAGCACTCCTGAGAGAGCATGGAACGGCCATAACACAGCAAGACAGTGACATCCCCAGCGCCAGGCAGCTAAGTGGCGATTGGAGGCTGGATTGTCCATGGCCAAGCCAACACTTTAGCTGCACTGGCTCTCCCCACGCTTGCGATCATGGTCCCAATAGTTAGTGACTTGACGGCACAGTCAGAACCTGACAGGCCACTGCTGTCAGGGCTGCTGTAGATCAGCCACCTGGCGACTCTATGTTCCCAGAGGAAAGTGTTACATCAAACCATATGACTGTCTGAACTGCATTCCACCAGGTCACAGGCAGGCAGAAGTCCTGTAATATGTCGACCATCTTGACTCTGGAACACCTATTGTACAGGTATACATAACTCAAGGGGTTTGTCTGCTTTATACTAAACTAGATCATTGATCCACTGAGGACAGTACTGAAGCTACCTTATACAGAGTCAACTTCTCTGGTCTAACAAAGTCAGCATTTCTACTCTTGACTGGAGTCTCAGATCGAGGTGTTTCACATGACCTTCTACCTGATCCTTTTTTAAAAGGCAGAAGCTGAGGAACGGAACCTGGGACCTCCTGCATACAAAGCAGATGTGCTACCACTGAACCACAGCCCCTTCCCATTCCCTGTGTACTGAGATTAGCCTTTCCCACATGTTGCAGAGCATGGACTTCACAACTGTGCTTAGGAGTCCTTCATCTGCAGTATCATTTGTCAGATAAATGGTGGTGGTGGGGAATGCTTTGTAATGACAACTGCAGGGGCAGGAAAGCATAGCTATCCCCAGGGCTATTTTTGGGCAGGAACGCACAGGAACGGAGTTCCGGCTGGCTCCCAAGTTGGCCACGCCCAGCAGGGACTTATTAGCATAACAGGCCACACCCAACAGCAGAAACTCATTAGGATTGGCTACATTAGGGGTGTGTGGCCTAACATGCAAAGGAGTTCCTGCTCCAAAAAAAGGCCCTGGGTTTTGACAACAAACAAGGTAAACAGAATAAGAAGCAAAAGGTGGGTGTGGCTGGATGAGAACACTTCTGGTAACACGGGGATGTGGCCCAATATGTTAATGAGCTGCACTGTCAGGGTGTGGCCTATTATGCTAATGAGTTTCTGCTGCTGGGTGTGGCCTATTATGCTAATGAGTTCCTGCTGGGCTTTTTCTACAAAAAGAGCCCTGGATCCCAACTTTTTGCCTGAAGTGCCAAAGGCATTTTACATTGTCCTTGCCTGCAGTCAGGAGACTTTCTAGCAATCATCCCATGTCTGGAGACAGGTCTCGTCATGAAATTTTAGCCAAACGTTAACCGCCACATACGTGAATGCCAGTGTAATGAGAACAGACCACATTTCGCCATTCAGTGTGGCATAACAGAGGCCTCTTGCAATAAAAATAAAGAGCAGTTTCTGTCAGAGCTCTCTCAGCCCCACCTACCTCACAAGGTGTCTGTTGTGGGAAGGGAAAGGAGTTTGTAAGCCGCTCTGAGACTCCCTTGGGTAGTGAAGGGTGGGGTATAAATCCAATCTCTTCTTCTTCTCCTCCTTCTTCTAAACAGGCAGGATAGATCTTCTGTTTCTGACTCTCTTCTTCATTGCCTAAACACATCCCTTGGTGTTCTAGGCACACAGCTGCTAAGAGCCACCACAAGCCCCTACAGAAAAGGTCTCTGTGGGACTTTCTCACACCACCCACATCCAACCCCTCAAAATGACATTGCTTGACTGACCCCACAAGCCCCCAGAATCTTGTTCCCATCAAGTGCCCTCCTCAGTGGCCCCATCTCTATGCTCCTAGCGTCTAAAACTTCTCAGCTTGCTCCCAATCTCCTGCAACTCCTGTTCCACTTCTGGAGGAGCCATGGTTACAAAAGCAGATCTCTCACTGAAGTGCCGCTACAAGCATGGATATAACTCCCATTTTAAGCTTTTGCACACGCTCCCATTTGATTGGTTAAAATAAAGGAGAGAGAAATTACAAATAAAAGAAGTCAGCACAAGTGACATTTTGCTTTTATGCTTCATTCGGGCCGTGCCGCTGCCGCCGCCACTGCACCCGTGTAATGAAATTCCTACGGCACTGCTGCATATGGCATCCACATTCATCCATCACATCAGCTCTGAGCCTGAGCTGCATTCCCCACCGCTGCAAGGGAAATACAGGCTTGAGCTGCCATCCTGCTGGCTGCAACTCATCAAACATCTCAAGCGGGAAAGGCGCTGTCACCACTGAGAGAGAGGGAGGGAAGAAGAGAGAGAGCGTCTTTTGGAAGAGCGCAAGTGAGGGAGTGTGGGTGCAGAAGTGGGGGCAAAGAAGGCCACAGGGCTGTTCCTGAGCAAACCCACTCCACCTTCACTCTCGTTTGAAGCACACTTTCAAAGGAAGTTCTATTGACATTGAGGGAATCTGATTGCAACAAAATATGCTTCCAATTTGGGAAAAAGTATTATAAATCTGCATAATTAATACAGATGTCATGTGATAAACCTGTCCCCCCTCCCCAAAGGGAAAAGGACCGAGTGATGGGTTTGAACAAAGGAGACCCTGGATTTAAATCTCAGATGAGCCATGAAGCTTCCATGGATGGCTTAACAAGATTATTGTATGGGCTAATAATAGGCTGTAGGGTTTATGCACCACAAAGAGCAAGGGTGTTGCAGTGGACAGAGTGTCAGACTAGGGATTTGGAGATGCAGGTTCAAATCCTGACTATGCCATGGAAGCATGCTGGGTGACCTTGGGCCAGTCACTACTCTTAAACGAACTTGTTCGCTGTGAGGATAAAATGGAGGTGAGGAGAACAGTGTAAGATGCTTTGGGTTCCTACTGGGGAGAAAGGTGGGGCAAGTAAATACATAAATAAACTTGCTATAGAAATAATGATAATAATTATTATGTTGATAAAAATTAAATACTGTAGGAGCCAAATATATTTTCTAGGGGGGAATATAATTCTCCATGATTTGGACATTATTGGGTTCTTTTGATTTATTAAAATTTCTTTGGCTATACTGGGATAAATCTATTATGCTTTCCTTCAGAAGACCTCACATTGCTACAGTCACCAGCTGCAGAAATTAACAATACAGACTGAACGTTTAACACACTCGTCTCTGAGCGCTGCCATGCTTCTCTCCTAGCACTGATCAACTCAGAACATAAAACACGTTGCTCTAAAGAAGGGGGAGATACACGCTCCCATTTCACAATTGGCAGAATTGGATTGGGAGGAGCAAAGAGAGTCCCCCAAAGCCATAAGATTTGTTGTCAAAGGCAGGTATCCAAGTGTCCCCAGTCCTCACGGAGAAGCCACGAGGTCATAATGCCAGGACTTTTCTGTCACTGAGAAAGACTATGCCAGTACTTAAATCTCATGTTTCTGTCTTGACTAGGACGAGAACGCTATTGTCTGCTGCAAAATAAAATCAGCAGGATTTAATTCCCATTAAATCAATTTATTAAAGCTTAATTTGCATGAAATTAAATTCAGCCCCTATTCAAAGAGCCATCACTCCCCTAAATCATTCAGCACAGGGAATTGAACATAGGCCTAATTAAAAACTTGGCTGGATCCATGCCTGCCTATTTCCCTTGTACCACTCAGCAACTCTAAGAGAAGCCCTGGGGCTCCGCTAACTTAATTTACACACTCAAGGGACAAGCTTTCCTTTGCTCACTCTGTAGTAGGGTTCTTTGTACTGGGTCTGATCTGTGACTTTGTTCACAGGACTGCTGAGATGTGGGGGGGGGGTCATCTGTTCAGTCATTGGTTTGCTTGACTAGATCTACTGCCGTGACATCGGAAGTATGCCTAGATAACGAAGTTTTCAGCCACCAGTATCAAGGAGGGAAGCAGAACTGTCCAGCTGCTTCATTTTAATAGTAAACATTGTATCCCTTGTGAAATAATAGACTTCAGGACATGCTGGAACTAAACAAAACAGCAAGAGTTTTAGGGTGTAAGCTTTTGACAGTCAACGCTCCCATCATGTGGATTTGAATCCTGTTCAGGAATTCAGAGAGGAGGCTTGATTTGAGCCTTCCTGTGGACAGTATTTCTCAGAGGGGATATTGTTTCTACGGTACTGTTCAGTCTCTAAAAGCCACTTGCACTGTGACTTCCACTGGCCTCTTGCAAGTCACTCCCTTTTAAAGAAAAAGAAAAAAAGCTCCATGTGGGCAGAAGTAATGCACTTTGCTACCTGAGAAATAAATCGCCCTGCTGAGCTGCTTCACAGAACACTTACCTCTTTGATCCTCTGCAAAAGAGGCAGCAGCCAGTCCTTGTTCACCTCACAGTGGCTGTCTAAGAAAGTCAGAACTCCTGCCTGTGCCATGTCTGCTCCTCGAATGCGAGACCGGATCAAACCTGTGAAGACAACACACAAACTCAAGGGCAAATCTGATCTTCTGAGCAGAAAATTAGTTGCTTATCATGCCGGGGCACATCCCTGTCATTCTCAGCCACTTCCTCAGGTCAGGTCAGGTCAGGTCCTCCTTCCATCTTGATACATGCCTGTTTTGCTTGGCAACATCACAAATGGACATAAAGAAAGAGCTTGCCTACATGAACATTGTGGCCAGTGCACCCAACCTTAATTCTTCTGGCTGTCACTGTGAAAGCAAGAGAGGAGAACATCACGTTCATATGAGCATGAGAGGATGTAGGCAACTCCTCAAGCATAAAATAATCAAACACAAGTAGAGTTTGCCACAGACATTTTTACCTAAAGCAGGGGTCATTTGGACGCCATCCCCCCGGGTGAGGTGCGGGAGGGCGGGGCCTGGAGCTCCCTGCTGGTGCCCGCTGGAGGTCGCCGCCGGCTGTGGGGAGGACACACTTCCGGTGATGTCAGGGGGTGTGGCATATGCTAATGAGTTATGCTAATGAGTCCCCCTAGCTCTTTTTCTACGAAATGACCCCTGACCTAAAGCAACACTTAAACCAAATGTAGGGGAAAGATCTCAGGATTTTCGAAGGGACCCCCAAAATTGTTAATAAGACTAGTGAAACTTTTAAGTGATGTTTTTCACAGTTACCCACAATTTCCTGAGAAACATTTCAAAACAGCAGTGGCAACATTTCCTGATGAGGAAGTAGAAACCAAACAAAACTTGAATTGCTGTGTCTAGCCTGTTATCACTTCCACAGATAGGGGAAATCTTTTAGTGTGTGTGTTTCTTGTTTCATTGTTCACAATGGGTGATATTCTCACTGGGGGGACAACCAAAGATGCCGGGAACCAGGTGGAGAGGTTGGGTACAAATTCTAATGAATTAAGAATCAACTTAGGTTAGCCTTTAGTGGGGAGGAATCACGAAGGGCAAACTTAATCACTGGGGAAGAGATCTAAGGGCATGCTTGCTTATGGGTTTTTTCCCCTGATGTGTTCCTATAATAGGGATGAGAAAAAATTAAAGATATTCTTTCATTTTTTGAATGAGTGGCAACTTTGGTTAATTAAATTTTAAGTTTTATCATATTTCCTTCAGTGCGTAAAAAAAAGAACCTATACCAAGGACTTAGTTATATGGAAACTGACTGTCTAGCAGCCAACAAACCACCAACAGAAACGGTGAAGATTTTCACTGTATTGTTCTCTCCCTCCTCCATATCCGCAGTCCTTTTCCACCCCAGAGAAGGATTATTTCTGGGGTCACACCCCACTTGTGGACAGACAGTCACATGATGGGGGCTGCAGTGAGAAGTGGTGAAGGGATGAAATTGTCCCAACCTCTCTTCTGTGAGGGGAGCAGCACACAAAGGGGAAAAGAATTTCCACAGGATTGAGTGTGGCAGTGGGACTGGGGGAGGAACACGGTGAAAATCTGTGTCCCACTGGTGGTTCATTGGAATGTAACTGATGAATTCATCTGAAAGAAGCTCTGGTGTGACCTGGTATGGAGCCTTTCACACTAAAAGGAAGTCTTAGGGGGGATTTGAGACATAAAGAAAGTCTTAGGGGGTCATTCAGGACAATTGGTTTCCCTAATACAGGAAACCTATCCAAGCCCTTCTTGAAAACTCTGAAGGAAGGAGATCCCACCACTTTACATAGGTTAATGTGTTTTGTAGAGAAAACACAAAGATGACTTTTGTTTTTCCAACTCAGTGGCATACCTAGCCTATAATTTTTTAACATCCACTCCTTTATATTTTTTTGCTGTCAAGTCACAGCTGACTTATGGCGACCCCGTAGGGTTTTCAAGGTAAGAGACATTCAGAGGCCATTTGCTATCGCCTGCCTACGCATTGGCCCTGTTTAGCTTCTGAGATCTGTCGAGATCAGGCTAGGCTGGGGCTATCCAGGTCAGGGCCCCTTCTCTATATGACAAAATTATTTCCAGTAATAATCATGAAATAAGTATAATGGTCAGAAAAGAAAGGCAGACAGTGAACATTTTATTTTATTTAACTTCATATATATAATCATGACAGTAAAAAAACCCTGAAATTCCAACTCGCTATTCCATCACGAGAGCCAACATGGTGTAGTGGTTAAAGTGCTGGACTAGGATCTGGGAAATCCAGGTTTGAATCCCCACTTGTACCATGGAAGCTTGCTGGGTGACCTTGGGCCAGTCACATTACTCTCAGCCTAGCCTTGACCTGGATAGCCCCAAGGCAGCTTGATCTTGTCAGATCTCAGAAGCTAAGCAGGGCCAGTGTGGAGGCAGGCAATGGCAAACTACCTCTGAAAGTCTCTTGCCATGAAAACACTACAGGGTCTCCATAAGTCAGCTATAGACATCAATGATTGCAGCAACTACTGGGCCTTCGCATTAGTTTCTCATGCAAGTAAAGCGATACTCAAAATCTTATCTCAAAGACTGTTATCATATATTGAACATGAAATGCTGGATGTTCAAGCTGGATTCAGAAAAGGAAGAGGTACTAGAGATCATATTGCAAATTTACGCTGGTTATTGAAGCATATGAGAGAATTGCAGAAGAAAATTAATTTACGTTTCATAGATTACGGCAAAGTTTTTGCCATGGGTCAACCAGGGCTCAGCGACAGCGAGGATTCCTCAGGAGAAGAGGAGCTTTGTGTAGCAAACCCTGAGTCAACAGAAGCTGACCAGCAAGAAAATGAGCTGCAGGCTTGTCAGGATTTACAGCCAACAGCTGTTGCAGAGCCATCATCACCCTCCAGCCCTGGCTCAGCCCTCTGGTATTACCTACACCCTTAGAGCACCGTAGAAGGAGGCTGAGAATGGAACTACAGGTGAGATGGCAAAGTGCATGTCTCCTGGCCTAACATCAGCTGCTTGCTGATAATGGAGATGAGTTGTTACAAGACTGACCATGAGTAGCTGGCTGAAGGCTTGACAATTAGGCATGCAGCTATAAAGCCTCCCAAGGAAGGCTGCTGGGCTTGGACATAATGTGTACACTATACACTGACCTGCTGCCACTGCCTCACCTGTTTAATCTCTGATACTCTGACCCCGGACTGAATGACTTTGTTCTGCTGAATCTCTGGCCCTCTGACCTCAGACTGAACAACACTGCTTGATCTCTGATACCCTGACTCTGGACTGAACAACACTGGACTTCAGAACCCAATTCTAGCCACACCTCCTTTGGCCAACAGACCAGGGCATTGCCACGAGGTATTCAGAGTCTGCCAGTCAGTACATCATTTGATTGTGTGGATCATGAAAAGGTATGGCTGGTTTTAAAAGAAATAGGTATGCCACAACATCTGATTGTTTTGATATGGTACCTTTACTGTGGACAAGAGGCTGCTGTTGGGACAGAATATGGAGAAACAGAATGGTTTCCAATTGACAAAGGAGTCAGACAAGGATGCATTTTATCTCCCTTTCTGTTCAACCTATATGCAGAGCTTATCATAAGGAAAATTAGATTAGATTTGGATGAAGGTGGAGTAAAAATTAGTGGAAGGAACGTTAACAATTTAAGATATGCAGATGACACCACATTACTGGCAGAAAACGGCGAAGACTTGAAACAACTCCTGGTGAAGGTTAAAACAGAAAGTACCAAAGCAAGATTACAGCTGAACATCAAGAAGACAAAAATAAAGACTACTTGGGAATTATACAACGTTAAGGCTGAGGATTATCTATTCTTAGCTCTGTCAACAACCAAAAGGGATATTGCAACCAATAAATCCGAAGAAGATTAACACCATAAAGGACAACCATGAAGGAACTAGAAAGGATCTTTAAGTGTAAGGATGTGTTGCTGCCAACCAAGATCAAGATAATTTATACTATGGTATTCCCATACTATGCATGGGTATGAAAGTTGCACATTGAAGAAAATTGACAGAAAGGTGATTCCTTTATATGTGGTGTTGGAGGAGAGTTTTACAGATACTATGGACCACCACAAAAACCAAATAAGTGGGTTCTAGATCAAATCAAACCTGCACTCTCCCTAGAAGCTAAAATGACTAAACTGAGGTGATCGTACTTTGTTCACATTAAAAGTAGACAAAAGTCACTGGAAAATACAATAATGCTAGGAAAAGTTGAAGGAAGCAGGACAAGAAGAAGATCCAGCATGAGATGGATTGCAGTTGTAGAGGCCTCACTTCAGAAAGGATGTGGACAGAAAGGAGAGCCTGCAGAAGAGAGCAAAAAAAGACTGAGGGACTTAGGAATGTTCAGTCTGGAGAAATGGAGGTTGCAGGGGGACATGATTGCTCTAAGTATTTGAAAGGCTCTCACTTAGAGGAGGGCAGGGAGCTGTTCCTGTTTGCAGTAAAGGATAGGACTTGCAATAATGGGTTTAAATTACAGCCAGAAAGATATTGGCTGGATATTAGGAATTTTTTAAAAGTAAGAGTAGTTCAGCAGTGGAATTGGCTTCCTAGAGAGGCGATGAGCTCCCCTTCACTGGCAGCCTTCAAGCAGCGATTGGATGAACACTTGTCAAGGATGCTTTAGGCTGATCATGCATTGAGCAGGGGGTTGAAGTAGAAATCAGGGGTGTCGAACTCATTTGTTATGAGGGCCAGATCCTGACATAAATGAGACCTTGTTGGGCTGGGCCATGTGTCTCATAAAATGTAATACCAGGTAGTGGAGATATAAACTTTATAAAGGACAGAAACACAAAGGGTTGGTTTTTTTACTAAAAATAAAATCATGCTTAAAACATTAGCACTCTTGCAATATTTTGTTTATTTAACAGTGTCTGATAACTGACACCTCTTGCTCTGAATTATTGCATCACAATGTCTGTGCTGCTGCAATCTTGAGTATGCTGTTCAGGTATGTATCTGTAAGCTGCAAACCTATGATGACACAGCAGCAGCAGAACTGGAAGAAGAAGCAGAAGACAGCTAGTTCTACTGTGAGCCTGATAGAAGCCCTCTGGGGGCCTAATCCAGC